TTATTATTATTATTATTATTATTATTATTATTATTATTATTATTATCATTATCATCATTATCATTATTATTATCATCATCATCATCATCACCATATACACAAAAATGTGAAGTCACAGCTGCTGGTTCTTCAGCTGGCATTGGCTTTTCATACGCAACAGTTCTTCTCCTCAAGAACCTGGGATGCTGTCATGGCATTGTGTCTGTTGTTGTTATTATTTTAACCTACAGTTTAAGGGGAAAGTAGTGCCACATAAAGAGCAACAGTGAGCTTATTTTGATAAAACCTGTTAAGTTAGGAAAATTGCTATCAGACTCCTCTTGATTGATTGATTTATTTTTTGTAGCCACAGAGCCATGTTTGTCAACCTGGAAGGTGTGGGCTTCAGTGCTTGGAAATCCCCAGCCAGCATTCTGGGACTTGAAGTCTTCATTCATGCCGACCGGGGAATTCTGGGACCTGAAGTCCACACACCTTTAGTGTTGAGAAAGGCGGCTTTGGAGTAGAGAAAGCAGGAAAATGGGTTTGAAGACCTTGAAGAGCTGACCTGGAGAGGGGCTGCCTGCCTCCCGTAGCTCAATCTGCTCAAGCAAAGGCTGGACCCCCAGGGGGCTTCTCCTTGGCTCCCACCCTGAGGGGGAGGGGTCCGTCTGGGGAAGGGCTCTGCTCAGCGTCCTGCGCATCCTTCCACTCGCTCAGAGCAAGGCAAGCAGAAGGATTGTCCCCCAAGCACAGCTCCCATCGCGAGGCCAGATGGAGACGGGAACGTGACTCCCGCCTGCCTGCGTAATCTGCCTTCTCGCTTTGCTGCCTCCCTTCCCTCCGAGGCTCCTGTTGCCTTGCTGGGGGGACGGGAACCGGGCTCTGTTGGCTTAAATCAGTTCCACTTGGCCTGGCAAGATGATTCGGGCGGCAATTATTTTGTGGTGAATTAGCAGCAGCAGCAGCAGCAGCAGAGAGTCGGAGGCTGCCTTAATCAGGGGACCTGTTTTTGCCTTGAACCCCCAGGTGCCTCGTCGAGACGAAGCACCATTTCGTTCTGGGTAATAAGCAACTCTTGGGAAGTTATGAAGAAGAAGGAAGGGACACTTGTGCATGTCAGGTCAGGCTGCCATCTTGAAGCGTAAGAAGAAAAGGGAATCCTGTGCTAAGAGTTGCAGTAGTAGTAGGGGGACCTAGGCTGTGGCTGTGCTTGCCTCTCTGTGTGTGCATGTGTGTGTTTGTGTATGCGTGCGCATGCACACATGTATATAAAAAAGATGTCGAGACTCTAGAAAAAGTGCAGAGAACAGCCACAAAGACAATGAGGGGACTGGAGGCTAAAACATATGAAGAACGGTTGCAGGAACTGGGGCTGGCTAGTCTAGGGAAGAGAAGGACCAGAGGAGACAGGAGAGCAGCCTTCCAGTATTTGAGTAGCTGCCAGAGAAAGAAGGAGGACAACCTATTTTCCAAGGCACCTGAAGGCCAGACAAGGAACAATGGATGGAAACTGAACAAGGAGAGATTCAACCTGGAAATAAGGAGGAACTTCCTCAGTGAGAGCAATCAACCGATGGAACAGAAGTTGCCTTTGCAAGTTGTGAGAGCTTCATCATTGGAGGCTTTCAAGAAGAGACTGGACTGCCATCTGTCAGAAATGGTGTAGGATCTCCTGCTTGGGTAGGAGGGTTGGACTAGATGACCTCCAAGGCCCCTTCAACTCTGTTAATCTACTCTGTATGTGTGTATAAACCTGAACATCAAAGCTGAGCCCATCTAGACCTGTTCCAGTCAATGGCCTTTGCTATTTATGCCCTCTTGGTCACCAGGCCCTGCGCTCTGCTCTATTAGCAGCTCTCTTTCTATCAAGCATAGAATTAAAAGTCTGGAAGGGAACTTGGAGGTCTTCTAGTCCAACCCCTGCTCAAGGCAGCGCTCTTCGTACCATCTTGGACAAATGGTTGTCCAATCTTTTCTTGAAAACTTTAAGGATGGTTCAAGGATCAGCTGTAAAAAAAAAAAAAAAAAGCAACCAGTGCTGTAGACAATCTTTAGCTCGGTGGCAACTTTAAGATGTGTGGACTTCAACTCCCAGAATTCATGGGAGTCTGGGAAATTCTGGGAGTTAAAGTCTTAAAGTTGCCAAGGTTGAGAAACATGGCATTGGCTATTTGTCAAGTATTTATGAGGATATTTCCAGGCTTACTGGAGAAAAATATTTTCCACTCTTTCTTCAGGGAGGCCGTCCAAGATTCTTCGTGTGGTTCACAGACGTAAATGTTCCCGTCCTGGGAATATTTCAGGTCATGAGTCAGTCTGAATCCAGAGCTGGTTGCTTTGATTCCGAGCCAAGCTGAGAACGTACATTGCTCTCCATTTATCCCGCTTGAACTGATGTGCCGAGAATGTTGGTTGCATAAAAGTGTGCAGAAAAAAAAGGATGCCGAGTCTATTTAAATTAGGAAATTCAGATTGAAAAATATAACCATGAGAAACAGCAGATCTGTGCAGTTTTAGGTCTACAGCTCAGGAGTTTATTTTAAGTGCACATTTATGCTGTGACCTCCTGACATGAACGCATAACAAGCCTAATATTTTACACGCTTTGTTTCAGTAGGAAGTCTGGATGTGAAAATACTCATTTTTCTTCCGTACATGCAGACTCCGTACAGGCCTCCTCCAGCAGTTGTAAAACGGGGTGGGCATGGGAGTTGGCCCTGGCTGGCATGGCTGGCCTGCCCCTTTGGAGACCTCAATGGTTTCGGTGCCCTTTTAGACACAGGCCAAGCTGCATGGAGCCCCACTCCCACCCCACCAGCGCATGCTGCCTCCTCCACCCCATGTGGGGCCACTTGTGCACATCCCGTAGCGTCCAGACGATGCGGCTGGAGTGTGGGTTTGGGTGGGGGGGCTTCGCTGTAACTGCCTTCTGCACATTCTCCCTCGTGTCCTCAGTGGGTGGCCATGTAGACTTTGATGACTTCGTGGAACTGATGGGGCCCAAGCTGCTGGCAGAGACAGCCGACATGATTGGGGTCAAGGAGCTGCGGGATGCCTTCAGGGAGGTGAGAAACCATTTCCAAAATTGGCCTCGTGTTTCTTTTCTTCCTCCCCGTGGGAGGCTTGTGTTGTTCTGCCTTCTTCTTGGGGGGGTCCAAAGGTCTCTTTCCCTGATTCTCCTGGTGGTGGTTTTTCCCCCCTTACTTGATGGTTGGACATAATGGAGGTGCAGCTGCTGTTCTCCTTGTTTTCTTTCCCATCGCTGCTTCTTGTGATGACCCAAAGGGGCATGGCACAAAGGCAACACAGTCTGATAATCAGTAGGAGTCCCTTTATTAGCTCCAACTTTGCCCCCAGTGTCCAGGTTACCTTCTGGCTGGAGAAAAACTCTCCCAGGAACAGCCTTTGACTGCAGAAAATTAAGTCCAAAACAGGGTAAACACAAATTGTAACTTAAAGTCCAATCAAGCCAAACTGAAATAATTAGTTTGGCAGGGCAGGAGCAAGAATTTCAGACTTGAAAGCACAGCAAAACTCACATGGTTGGGAAGACACCATGAACATGGATAAGCAATGACAACATAGGATAAAGTCACGTTTGCTCCCAGCCTGCATTTCTTTTAAACTTTCTTCCGAGCTGTGCCTAATGAAGGGAATCAGGGCCCTTTCCTCCCCCCTATTCCACACAACCTATGTTGCTCTCTTCCCCGTTCCTCCCTGCCTGCCCTAGTATCAAGAGGGGGTGCGCCTGGTTCTTCCTCTGAACTCCCTCTCCCTTGTTCTACCTCTCCCCTGCTCTGCCCAGCCGGACTTTGCCCTTCCCCATCCTCCTCCACAGCCAACGGAACCACACTCCCGCTCCCTGTCAGCTGTTCATTTTCCTCCTCGGATTCAGACTCTGACAGGGGCATGACACTTCTTCCCTAGTTGGAGTAGGTGTGCTTCTCAAAAAATTGCTTTGTGGCACGTGGAATATGTGAGTCGTACCTGCCTGCTGGCTCTTGAGAACAGGGAGTTGATATAAATTGCTGGAGACAGGTGTCAGGTTCACTTTCCTGCACACACCAAAGCACTTTCTGGAGACTGCATCTGAAGAGCTATGCAGGCCTACTTTCCAGCTGCCAAAGCTGCTGCTCTGAAGATGAGAAGAATTCCCTCCTAATCCCTCCACTGGGAATGGCCTCGTCTTGGTTCTTGTTGTAAATTGCAAGTGCAATTCACATTTGCATGTACTTGCATTTAATGCTGCTGTTTGTTCTGAGCAAGGCTTCCTAGACCGTAATTATGCACACGCTTATTTTAAAAACAAGTCTAATTTTATTGCAATGCTGGGAATTGTTTTCATTTCCAGCCGGTAATTCATCTCAAACAGTTCCTTGAGATAAGCACCCACCTTTCTTTTCTGTGAAATGCTGCCAATAACAGAAGTGTCAAATGAACTAGAAAAAGAAACCAACCGAAGTACAAATAGTTTCAAGAATGAATCTGAACCGAATGAACAACCTTGCTTCCTGCAAAGGTTTCATCATCTTTGTCTGTCCTTTATCCCTTATAGGGGGGGCAATCACCTCCCAGCCTTACTCCCGAGTTGCCTCTTTTGTTTAAGCTGCTCTTCTAGCAGCTCTGTGCACGTGCACTGGGAACAGGCTCCCCTTGTTCCTCTGCCTTGCTGCTGCCAGATTCTGGAGGCTCCAGAGGCGGCACCCTGCTCCCAGATGGTCCTGGCTCCATCCCTGCATCGGATGCAGGACCCTTGTCCGAGTCCCCTCCAGATTCCTGGACTGGTCCCCATTCTTCCCCGTCCGATTCCGTTGCCGTCTGCACTGGCTGCTGGCAAACCACAACACTGTTGACCAACATGCTTTCTCAAAGCGTGAGGTGTAAAATCAAAGTGTTGTCATGCATGGGCTCGGTTGGGTAAAGGGTGCAGCTTTGGGAGGCCCACGGAAAGCCTTCGAGGAACCACCAACCAACTCTGTGGTCCTTCCTGGTGTGTTTTTGTGCAGTTTGACACCAACGGAGATGGAGAAATCAGCACCAACGAACTGCGAGAAGCTATGAGGAAGCTCCTCGGGCAGCAAGTGGGACACCGAGACATAGAGGACATCATACGGGATGTTGACCTGAATGGAGATGGGCGAGTGGACTTCGAAGGTGAGCGGAGGGAGGGTAGGATGGCCTGTCCACTAGCCACAGAGTGGGAAGCAGCAATGGAGCTGGCTGGGAGACCGGGCTGCTTGGGAAGGGTCTCTTTCCTATAGCTTGCAGAGGCTCTTAATCAGAGGTCCCCAAACTTGGCAACTTTAAGACTTGTGGACTTCAATTCTGGGAGTTGAAGTCCACAAATCTTAAAGTTGCCAAGTTTGGGGACCGCTGCTCTTAATAAAGGCTCAGCATGGGTCTACAGGCTATACAATTCCTCTCACTGTGAGAAAATGGCGGGGATGATCTGCACACACAGACACAGACACAGACACACACACACACACTGTCCCCCAGCCTCTAAAGGAGAGCAGAAAGGGGCCTCTGGCCAGCTCCCATCCATCACCCCTGACTTTAATAGGTTAGGAAAAAGGGAAATGCCTGGCTGTAAGAGGCTTCTGTACCTGTTGCAGCCCAAGGACGGGGGAGGCTCAGAGCCAGGAGTTGGGGGAGGGGGGCTTCTTCCCACCCCCAACTCCAACGGGTCTCTAGCCACAAACAGGGAGGTTCTTCCATTTTTGATTTGGGGCAGCTGAGCCAGAAGAAAACGGGCTTTGCTAGCCTCCCCTGGAAACGCTCTTAAGATGCCTTCTGACTGGCTAATCCAGTTACTTGTGGCATTTCCAGACCCCCTAATCATGAACATAATATCATTCTTAAGTAATTTAAAATGGACATTTTATTTAGAAAGCAAAAAATAAAAAAATGGCAGATTTCCCACCTCTGTAGAACCATCTCCAATTATACAGAATGCAGAAGAACAGAGTTGGAAGGGACCTTGGAGGTCTTCTAGTCCAACCCCCTACTCAGGCAGGAGGTCCTCTACCATTTCAGACAAATGGTTGACCAATCTCTTCTTAAACATGTCCAGTATTCACAACTTCTGAATTCACAACTTCTGAAGGCAAGTTGTTCCGCTGGTTAATTGTTCTGTCAGGAAATTGAGACTGAACAAAATTGAAGAAATTGTGAGCTGAACTTGGGGAAGGTGTGAAATAACTATTAAAGAGAGAAGGAAGGAAGGAAGGAAAGGGGAGGGGAAGAGAAGGGAGGAAAAGGAAGGGGGCAGAGGCCGGAGGAGGGGAGGGAAGGGCTGTTTAGATGAAAGAATGGATGAGACCGTGACACAGAAGGAAGCATGAGAAGCTCAAGCCAGTACAAGAAAGAACAACGAGATACCTGAACAGCCCTTCAAGATTCTGTTATTTAATCCCATACCCCACAATAGTAAAGAAGCATCCATTTCTTTGTATCATCTCTTTTTTCAGTTATTTTACAGTTACGAGTCCATTTTTGTTGGGCAGCTATAATCAAATCAATAAAGCAATCAATGCATATGCATTCCTGAGATTTCCCCCTCGCCCTCAGTTTCTTGACCTGGCCTGTCTGGCGTGGATCTTGAAAAGCCGCTCAAGTTTCTCTCTGTCCCTTCGTATACTCAGCAAAGTCAAAGTCAACTATTTTGACTTTCTTTTTCCTGCTTTCTTCTGATTCTGGGCATATAACCCCTTTTCCACGTCTTCTCTGGATGGCTCTTTCACACCTTCCCCTAAATTCCTTTACAGAAAATGCTCTCTGTTTCTGGAAAACTGCTGTAAATCTGGATCAGTAATGAGATTGAAATCAGTGTTTTTTAAAGTTGGCAATGTTAAGATGCGTGGACTTCCAACTGCAAAGCCGGCTGGGAAATTCTGGGATTTGAAGTCCAGCATCTTAACCAGGGGTGGGATTCAAATTTTTTTTTTTTACTACCGGTTCTGTGGGCGTGGCTTGGTGGGCGTGGCAGGGAAAGGATACTGCAAAATCTCCATTCCTTCCCCACCCCACTGACCTGCTTTCCAGCTCCGTTCTCCTGTGCAGGGCAACCAAAGGAGACCCAGCCGGTCAGCTGGGACTCAATGGGAGGCAGGGAATAGATGGGGTTGGTAGGGCCAGTCAGAGGTGGGATTGGCCGGTTCTCCGAACTACTCAAAATTTCTGCTACCAGTTCTCCAGAACCGGTCAGAACCGGCTGAATCCCACCTCTGATCTTAACACTGCTAACTTTGAAAAACTCTGGCCTAGAAGGACCCATCCACCAGCAATGTCTCTCTGGCCTCCCCCCTTTTCTGCAGAGTTTGTCAGGATGATGTCTCGCTGAAGACAGCTCTTGAGCTGAGCGGTGACCCAGCCCTGGAGGGTAGAAAAGGGCCACGTGTGGCGCGCCATGCTCTGAGCTCCTATGCAATGCCGGCTGCCCCATCGACGGTGTGCCGCAGTGACCTGCCTCACTCCTCCACCTGGCCTGATGCTCCTTCCCTCTCCACACTGTGAACGATTCGGGGTCTCCTGCATTCGAAGCGCTGCCGGGAGAGGTGGGCAGCCGTGCCCCTGCCCAAAGCAGCCACAGAGGGCTGGACGTCATCGAGGCCTCCTTTTCCAACGCCTCGCCTGCTTTTGCTCTTCCAGCCAACCCTGCAAAATGACGAGAACGGGGGGGGGCTGGATGCAGGGCCCCCCCGGGACCAGTGCCTGATGTGGACTGTGCTGTCTGGACTTCTGTTCCTTGGCCAAGGCACCTTGTGCGAATGCCTCCTTCCATCTCCTCTGTGTCGCCTTGATTTTTGCCTCTGGAATGTTTTTCTGTCTCCCTACAGTCCTGTTAAGGGGCACCGATATGTGTTTGCGCAGAAAAAGAAATAATATTGAGCAAATACTCTCTGCGAGGCTGGCTCTTATTCGCCCAGGGATGGTGGGGCCGTTGAGGGCCAACTAGGGGTCAAGGCCTGCAACTCTGTTCATGGGGGCTGTTAAGAGCCCCCCAAAAACGCTGGAGCAATAATAGAATAGAATTCTGTATTAGCCAAGTGTGATTGGACATACAAGGAATTTGTCTCCGGGGCATAAGCTCACAGTGTACATGCAAAACAATGGTAAATCATTATCATAATCATAAAATACATTCATCATAAATCATAAGATACAACACTCAGGGATAATCATAGGATCCTAAATAAATAATCAACATAAATCATAAGATACAAACAACTGATAGTCATAAGATGTTTAAAGATTTTATATACATACATACATACATACATACATACATACATACATACATACATACATATATGGTATTCAGCTTTGTTCGGGTATTTTTCCACGTCATTATAGTTGTGCTTTTAAAGTTGTAGCAACGTTTCGGCAGAATCTCATCTGCCATCATCAGGCTTCTGTATAGTGTTCATCTGTGAGTCAGACTTTCACAGCCGTTTCTGTTTTAAATTTGGGGCTAGCCTACTGCTGTGCCAGAATGGTTTTTTCTTCATCCTGATTGGTTGGGAGTCTTGGTCTGTGTTTATTGGTCTTGGAGTTTGCTGTGTTCTGCTTGATTGATGTTTCTAATATCTTCTGTCTGTTTTGTAGCTTTTTGTTGTTGTCTTGATTGGCTGGCAACATTATGTTCCTGTATTGGAGGCTTTAGTGCGGCTTGGCTCCAAGTAAATGGATGGCTATCATTTATTAGGAAGCTAGGTTTCATCTGGGTGCCTGATAGGGGTGTGTTTGAGCTGGAGGTATTGGGGGAGTCTGTTTGTGCCCGGGTGTTTGCTTAGCTTGTGGTGTGGAGATTTTTTTGTTTGAGAGTGCAGGCTTCCAGATAATTGAAGTCAGTCTGGTGGAGTCATCTCTTCTATTCATGCTTTCAGGTCTTTTTTCAATCTCTATGGCTTCTCTGATAATTCTGTAGTTGGGGTTTTCTATAGTGGCTAGGGTTTTGGTGCCATTGAAGTTGATGCTATGACCTGTGGCTTTCATGTGTTGGACTAGTGAGGAAGTGTGTTCCAGCTTTTTTACTGCATTTTTGTGTTCATCCAGGCGGGTACTTATTTTTCTATTGGTCTGTCCAATGTATGTGGCCGGACATGATGCACAGGGGACTTCATATATGCCTTGGTTTTCCAGGTCAATTTTATTTTTGGGGTTTCTTAGGATGGCTGCTATTTTTCTGTCTGTTTTGAAGGCAGTCTTGATGTGATGCCTGTGTAGTATCTTACTGATTTTGTCTGTAGTACCTCTTATGTAGGGCAGGACAGCTGTTCCATAGGTCTGTTCGAGTGTCTCTGCCAGACTCCGGTTGCAGGGAGGAACCCTGGCTGGCCACGCATGGCTGCGCCAAACACCACAGCGTTGCTCTAAATGCCGCGGCAGCATGGGGAGAAGGGAAAGCAACGGTGGCGGAAGGTCTCCCAATACGAAGTGCCCCACCAACACCGAGGTCAACATCCAAGCCGTCGCCACTCGCCCGCCCGAGGATGCAAGGGGGGGGGGAATTAAGTCATCCCTGAAAAGATGGCCTAGCCATTTTTGGGGGGTCAAAAAAAAAAAAGGCCCGGCCTTATTTTGTGAGAAACACGGTATATATATTTCTTCCAGATGTTTCATAAACTAGGTAACATCATCAGTGCTAGCCTGGCTATCGTAGTACTGACTAGCACTAATGTCATTCCCTACTTTGGGTCATGAAACATGTGCAAGGAAACAACCAAGCTCAGAGAACCCAAGGACCCCTCATAGCTGGAGATGCCAATCGTTGCCCATGGGAGGCGATCCTTGTCCATTGGCAAGGCCACCTTGCCATAATGAAGGCAACCCCTTTTCAAGGGGAAGGACGGCTACTGCGTGGTGCACCAGAGGCCACCTGTAAATATTGCAGCTCTGCAGAATATTTGGGTGTGCCCAGGAGCCCAGCAGCTTCTCTTCAGTTGCCTTTGGGGTTTAGTGAACAGGCAAAGGATTGGGCCTCTGCTCCTCTTGATACTGTTGGAGGCATCCCACATTTCATGCTGGCACAAAGCTTCAGGCTGCTCTTGCCTTAGGAGACAAGTAATGTTTACTTAGTTTACACTAGCCTGGGTGTTTTTTTCACCTGGGCAACTTAACCTGTGGACTTCAATTCCCAGAATTCCACAGCCATCATGCTTGCTGTGGAGTTCTGGGAGTTGAAATCCACACATATTAAATTCCCCAAGATTGAGAAACCCTGCTCTGGACCCCCTGCACTTCACTAGCAAGGAAGAATGGCTCTTCTGGCCAGTCTCAACTCTCTGGTGTCTTCTTTAAGCTCCAAACTTGCTGCCACTCTCCCACCCCACCAATGGCTCAGAGGAATCAAAGGAAGGCAACCCCTTGCCCCACTAGTCCAGAGGCACCCCTGGATCTTCCCAGCTCCTGCCCACATGCCCTTCCCCTTCCTCCTTCTGCAAGGAAGAAGGGGGGGCAGTGAAGCTGGCAGGAGGCAGAGCTCAGCTTGGTCTCTGGATGTCAGCCAGGCTGAGGAGAATCAAGTCAAAAGTTGAATACAGAATAACAGAGTTGGAAGGGACCTTGGAGGTCATCTAGTCCAACCCCCTGCCCAAGCAGGAGACCCTACACCATTTCTGACAAATGGTAGCCCAATCTCTTCTTGAAAGCCTCTAGGGATGAAGCTCCCACAACTTCCGAAGTGGGCAGCCTGGAGCCACCTTGCCAATTTGCATCCAGCCACATGCATCATGCCAGCTGGTCTGCAAACCACACAATCTCATCTCACCCAAGAAGCCACATTGCAAGAAACAGACAACGCCCTGTCAACACCCCACACTCGCCTGCTGGCCGTCCAAGGCCAAGATGGTGGCTGCAGCCCTGCAGTTGAAGCTGCCCATTTGCTGCCATCTTGACCTGGCTCCCGAGATGCCAGCTGCTGAAGGAAGAGGGCCAGGACTCTCCCCTGACTTGGCTGGCTGTAAATCTGAGCCAGCTGGGTGCCAGGCCCTAGAGGCGCATGCAATGGACAGGAAAACAGGTAGAGCTTTGATCACACAGTTGTGGCCACCATCTTGACTTTTTTTCACCAAACACTGCAGACCTCCTGAATGGAGCTATGCGGGTGGGACACGGTCAGCAATGTGGCTGCAGCAATTGGGCGCTCTTGAGCTTTTGGGCTCAGAGTAGTGGGCAACTCAGCTAGCGCATTGAAGAATCAAAACAGGCTTTTACAGACAGGCAAAATTAAATTCGGCGAGGCGCAGCATCTTAAATAGCCAAGCAGGCTCATATCTAGTGAGGGTAGATAGACCAGGAAATCCACATTGGTGCTAAGAAAACATGGTGGCTCCATGCATCTATGAAGCAGTCAGGAGCACAGAAGACTTTGTCTTTATAAAAAGATTGCACTGTTCTGACCTAAGCTTCCCCAAAAGCATGAAGCCAACTCCGCGTCCAGATTAACCCCTTTTTATTTAGTTTACAGTGAATTCTTTTCCAGCAAAGTCCCGGCCAACAGTCTTTCAAGATATTTCACAATTACAGACCTTTATCAGGCTTGGCGAGTTGCCATGCTGATATCTTTCAAACGCCACACTGTAGCCGACAATACTTGGCAAGAATGCAGGAACAGAATTTCACCCAAATGAACTAATTGCCTCCTGCAAAACCCCACTCCCCTTTCGCTCCTCTTTTATTCCCTATGGGAGGGACCATTCACCGTCCACCTGTGGCTTTACTCCCAAGTCAACCCTTGTTCCTCAGCTGTTCCTTTCTTCTGGCAGCTCTGCACATACGCACACTGGGAACAGGCTCCAGCTGTTCTTCCGCCCCACTGATCTCTGCCTCCAAAGGCAGCTGATACCTGTCGGACGGCCCTGGCCCCATCTCTGCCTCCGACACAGAGCCCTTGTCAGAGCCTTCCCCAGACTCCAGGACTGGCCCGTTCCTCCCCAACTTCCTCACTGTCTGAATCTGCTGCCAGCTCTGCTGGCAGGCCACAACATGCACATGCACAAACACACACAAACACACACATCCCTATGATGCACTCATGGATGTCTCAGTATAGTGCCTGCATAAGACCTTCAGCACATGAAATGCAATATTAATGGAGATTCGTAATGCAATCAGCAGGAATATCCTTCCTCTGGACAACTGAATACAAAACGAAATACTGAAATCACTCAGTATGACACATGATTAATTTAGATGAGTGTTTGTCAACCTCAGCCACATTAGGGTGTGTGGCTGTCAATTCCCACAATTTCCTAGTCAACAGTGGAGGCTGAAGAATTCTGGAAATAGAAGTGCACCCTACTTAAAAGTGGCCCAGTTTGAGAAACAGATTTAGATGAACACTGAAGCTGTTGGAAGACAAGGACACCCCGTGGCAGAATTTGGTGGTTGTTGGCTGAGAAGCAAGGTGTGTGTGTGTGTGTGTGTGTGTGTGCGTGTGTGTGTGTCTTTGATGGTGTTGCCATTAATAGGCGGGAGGCTCAGCCATGACTACCATTCTGATCTCACATGCCTACAAAAGGAAAATCACAGCTTGTAGAGAGGTAGCTATGAAGGAACCCGGGAGTCCTTGTGCAGCGTGTTCACACAACATGCTAAACTGGAGTTGTAATCCCAGGCAAAGAGGACATGGCTAGGTTCAGGCTGTGCGCCAGACCCTTCAATAAGCTGATTATAGTTTCACCTGAAGGTCTGGTTTCCACAAGAGGCTGAACCCCAAAGATGCAAACCCATTGGCTCCTTCTCCCACATTGTGTGGACCTCACTTGCCCTGACAAAAACCCAGAATGGACTGTTCCCTTCTCAGCCCTGGTGGCTTGTCCTTGTCCCTCTCGTTAAATCTTGGGGTGTCTCTGTGTGTGTGTGTGTGTGTGG